TTCTTCGCACCCACAGCACCCCCCCCCCAACTGCCTAATCCAGATCGGAGTCTCATTTTGACATTGGGCTGTGGCCCCTCATCATGGACAGACAAAGATGGCTTGATTGCACCGGGAATGTTTTTGTGGTCGGTTGCTTCCAGGGGAGCGGGTGGATCCCTGGCAGCAAAGTCACGGCGCTCTGTGGAATCCCACGGCTGCTGGGTTTCTCATGACTGAACTTGGGAACACCCTGCAGAGTTGGACACAAATACCGGTGAACGTTATTAAGCAGATCTTGGAGCTTCAGAGAGCCAAAAATACCCTATTTCAGGGTCAACCTTCTCCAGCGATGAGGCGTGCACAATTTCAGGCTACACAGAGTTCCACATCGGGCCAAATTAAATCAAGCAAAGCTTCTCGGGGCGAGCAGTGCTGAGCGAGCTGCCTAGCAGCTCCGTGGCTGACCCACTTCTCTGTCGAATCCGATTACAAATCCTGCATAAACCGAGAGCTCGCATACTGTTTAATCTTGCAGAAAGTCTAGGAAGAAAACTGTTTTTTTTTTAAGTGCCAATTTTGTTGCAGCTCCCCTGAATCTTGCAGTGCCAACTCTCTCTCTGTGTGTGTGTTTTCCCACCCAGAGATTACTAGGGAACTTTATGGCGCAGCTGTGCATACATCTTCCGGGAGCTGACTGAAAGGGTGGGTTTTGGGGGGGGCTGTACTCCCCAGCAAAGCTGCAGCCCCCTAGCGCCTTCCACCATCCTTGGATCTATGCCTTCTTTGCAATGAATGGAGGACTCCTTGTCACCACGGCAACGCTCTCCCTGCAGAGAAGCGCGCTCCCCGTCACCATGGTAACTGTCCCACTTTTGGGACCTGCCAACTCTCCCCGCACATCACTTTGCTATCTGCACCAAGCCGAGGCCGTAGAAAGTGGGATGCACTGAGGCTCTGCATCTCCCCCCCCCGTCCTCCCCCCCCCAGCATTTGCTACCTTGAACAGCAGCCAAAACCTGGAGCTGGTGAACCCACCCCTTGCAGTCCGCAGATACAGGGACGCCGGATCGGTGGCACTCCCTGCTTCCAGCCGGGTTTGCAGCGCTCTTGAATACGTGGGCATTACTTTCCAGGTCTTGAGCACGCCCACGCACCCACAAGCTCACCCCCTCCCTCAAAGCAAGGCACCTCTAAAAATAAAACTCACCGCCCCAAGAACGACGCCACCTAGTCCCCATCCTGAGATTTCTTTTGCAGAAGTTGGGCAGAGACGCCGGTGTGTGGACTGTCCTACAGTT